TATCTCCTTATCTATATACGTGTAACACAAATATGTCGTGAAAATCATCGATCCACTCAGCTTTTTACCAAAGGTTCAAAGAAAAACTAATTCTCTAAAGTTAAAAATATGGAAAGTGACTTTTGAAAAACGATGACAATATTTTTCCTGATGCAGAAGAAACCAACAGTCCCCATATGAAACCACATTTAAATTCACTATCTCACAATGTTAAAGAAGCTGAAATAAGATTACTGCTCTTCCCTGACTCATTCTGCAGCCTCCCACTCCGTTTTGTTGGAATCTGTCTGGTAGTTTTTGTGTAATCTTGCTTGAAAAGAACCATGAAACGGACAGGGGTGAAAACATGAGGTTTTTTGGTGGATGTATTAAATGAAGAATGAAGGTTAAAAAGCCTTGAGGAGTGTGAGCCTGGATAACCTTCCTCTGGGTGTTACAGGTGTGTCCTGTGGAGCTCCTCACCCTCTGGAGAATGGCTTGTTCCAGGGGACAGACTTTCATAGTGGCAGCTCTGTGGTCTATCAGTGCAACGCTGGCTTTTACCTGCTGGGAGACGCCAAGATGCACTGCAGCAACAGCGGCAAGTGGGGAGGGAATCCACCGGCCTGTCTCGGTACGTCTTTACTTTATATCGTATATGTGTTTTTACTTCAGGGATATAACTATGGAAGATAAATGTCCTGTCTGACTCGGTTTGTGCATGTGTCCCTGTGATGTTCAGATGTGGATGAGTGCGCTCTGGGATCTGACTGTGATAATCACGCCAGCTGTCAGAACACAGACGGCTCCTACATCTGCACCTGCATCCACCCGTACAGCGGAGACGGCAAAAACTGCACAGGTAGGAGATCTTTACCAGGAGAAGCATTTAAATGCACATGTAGGTTTTTAATAATGCTGATAACAACATTCAAATCGAGACAACAGCACAACACTTGTTATGTGTGGGTGTATGCATGTGTTCCTACCAGAGCCGGTGAAGTGTGTGAACCCTGAGTCTCCAGAGTTTGGCCACAGAACCGGCAGCAACTTCCTGATGGGCAGTGAGGTTGTGTTCGGCTGCGAGGACGGCTACGAGCTGATCGGCTCGTCTCGACTCCGCTGCCTGGAGACAGGAAACTGGAATGATCGTGTCCCATACTGCAGAGGTGAGAGGTTAAGTGAAGTCATGACATGCCATTAGCTGTACCGCTGTATTGTTTGAGGGTCACGCTGGGGGGTCGAGACAATCCCAGCAGACACTGGGCGAGAGGCAGGGTAAAGACTGGACAGGACGCCAGTCTATCACAAAGCCTACATACAGAGATAAACCTGCATTCACACATATATTATATATATAGAGACCTACAGGCATTTTAGCATCTCCAAATAACACGTGTCTTTGGTCCGTGGGAGAAAGAACGTAAAAACTCCATGAACTAACAGACTCCTTGCCCTGAGGCGAAGTGACTCATATTCAAGGTTTTTGTTCATCTTAAGTGAAGTTAAATATATATAGCGTCATCATATTTAGGCTGCATGAAGGAAATAGGAAATTGTGATCTGGTGTTTCCAGAGTTCAGAGCATTACAGCAGATGCTATAAATACTCAAATGCTTGTAGTAATCTTCCACTGAAAACAGTCCAAATCCACTGTAGACTAGTATTTTCTAAAAACTTCTGTCCGAAGTCCAGCTTTGTGTTGTGTGGAATTTAGGAAAAGATGTCCCACTAACAAAGGAATGAGGGAGATACTGTGAGGTATCTCTGTATCTCTGCTACGTGTTCAAAAGCATGCAGCAGATGGCAAGGTGGTTTAATTGCTGACGTCTACACCACTTCTCCCATGAACGTTCAAATCTTGCAACTTCTCGTATGAAACCTCAAAAGCAAGGAAGAAACAGTTTTTACATTGACAACACTTCTACTTGGGGTTTTCTAACAATCAGTCTCCATTCATCTGCTTTTTATTCTACATGGAAGAAAAAAGATTTCTTATCCAAGCATCAGGAGTGAGTAGTAACTACACAGGTGATATATAACAGTATTTTATCATTATTATTATCATGCATATTGTTCTGATGCATCTTCACCTGTACACAAAAGCACTTACGAAGATAATGTGAAAGCATTCACACTGCAGCGGCCTGAAAGCCCTGACCACTGCAGCGTCTCCATCTTGGCTCTCAGCCACATACTTCCTCATAGAGACTGCAGACTGTGCCAATGAGCTCATGTTCAGAACACACTGGCTGTTGAACATCAGACTGAAAGTGAAATGACTACAGTTAAAAGAACACATGTATGTGAAATATTAGAGACACTGCAAAATGTTTTTGAATTGAAAAGGTTAAAATGATCATTTTACTGGTTTCCTGTGTGTGGGCAGATTTAAGGGAAGTGTATTAGTGAACACATGGATACAGGAGACAGGAGGTTGAGGTTTTTTCTGCAAGAGTGTTAAAAGTATGAGGTGGTGGGCGTGTGGCTGCAAGAGTCACTGGTGCAAAACTGTGTGGTCTTACAGTAAGTAATGATGGTTCAGTGAACAAGGAACCAGGAAGCTTGAGCAGGAAAATAAATACTTTCAGTAAGAAGCACTCATTCACCAATTTTACAGCAGTGCATAGAGGTTCTTTACTCTGCAGATGAAGGTAGCTGCACTTTCACTGAGTCATTTTCAGTGAAATATTGTAAAACAGCATTTATTAATCCTCTTATTTGATATTTATAGCTCTTTCCTGCCCGACGCCAACTGTCCCAGAGAACTCCATCATGAAGGGCGACAACTTCACCTACGGAAGCAAGGTGACTTTCAGGTATCACTTGCATCCCCTACAACAAAGTGACGACGGCCGAAAGTACAAAAACACATTAAAAAGAAACATGCTATAGTTTCTTCTTAACAGTCTAACTCTTCTACCTCTGCAGTTGTATGAAGGGCTTCCTGCCTCAGATCCCGTATGACTTTCAGTGTCTCGTCAGTCTGAGATGGAGCGGGACGCCACCTGTCTGTCACCCACTGACCTGCGGGGGGCCTCCAACTGTGGAGAACGCTGACTACAGCCTGGGCACGATCACATACCTGTCCACTGCGAAATACACCTGTGCTGAGGGCTACAGGTAACGACCATCAGCTCACATGTTCTGTCGATGATGGGAGTTGACCTTATGAATAAACATTAATTTAAATATTATTTTGTTTTTGTGACTGGAGAGTCAGTTTGTCCATTCAGTTTATTTATGTGCTTTTAAAACCTGGGTTAAAGTAAGTTTATAGTCCCAGTTAAGTATTATCATGTCCACTATAAATCTGTGTGACACTACAATGTTATAAAGTACTTCTGTTTTATGTTGGGGCGAAGGCCGTTTGGCTCCATGGAAGTTGTTTGTGAAGCAACCGGGGAGTGGAGCAGACCCTCCCCCCGCTGCGTGAGCGTCCTGTGCAGCGAACCTCCGGCCCTGAGAGACGCTGTGACCATAGGAGAGAACTATGAACTGGGAAACAAGGTGCACTATGTCTGCAAAGAAGGGTAAATGTGGTTGAAGTCTACTCGGTTTCTGTGTGAATATTTTTAAACTATGTCTGATGTCTTGTAAGTGCTGCATTGTCTTTTGCTCATCCCTTTTTGGTCTCCTCCATCTACAGCTACACTCTGATTGGCCCAGAGACCAGAGAATGTTTGCCAAGTGGCCAATGGAGTGACAGCTCTGCCCAGTGTGTTCCTCGCTCCTGTGGCCCCCCGCCTGCCATCGACCACGCAGAGCCCTACGAGAGCCACCAGCTGTTTGGAGACACCGCCAACTACTACTGCACTGACGGATACACCGCCGGCAACAACTCCAAGATGGTGTGCAATGCTCAGGGCATGTGGGCGCCTCCTGATGGCATGGAGGCCCCGCGCTGCATCGCCAACTTCTGCCTTCGCCCGCCCGAACTACCCCATGCAATTTTAGATTCAGTCAACAAACCCAAATACACCAGCAACTCTGAAGTGAGCTACAAATGTGAAGAGGGCTTCATGCTCAACACCACAGCCACACTGAGGTGTTTAATGGGAGGACAGTGGGAGCCTTCGCCGTACGATATCGGCTGCGTGCCAGTGAGGTGCTCCAGGCCTGAGAGCATCGACAGGGGCTATGTGAGCGGGACCAACTACAGTTTTGGAGCCATGGTGGCGTACACCTGCTATCCAGGCTTCCATATCCGAGGGGAGAAGAGGAGGACCTGCAAGGCCAATGGAGAATGGGAAGGAGCTCTCCCCACATGTGTACCTGTGTCCTGCTCCTCGCCTCCTCCACTCAGGAATGGAGAGGTCAGCTTCGAACACCAGAGTTAATACACAGCAATAATCCTTCTTATGACAATGAAAAACAAAGCAGACAATAACATCCTCTGGCTGGTTACACAATAAGAATATATGCAGTATCCCTCTGGCATGTGGTAAAATTATATGAATATCTAATTGATTTATATTCATCATAATGAAGATGCAGAAACCAATATAAATACATATATCTGCAAAATATAATCACTGACCAAGACTTTGATTTTGGTTTAAGCTCAACAAACTGTCATGACCTGAATCACTAGTTTTCATATTTTAATAATTCATCTTTTCCACATGATGAACTATAAATACGGTTTAAATGATTTGTTCCTCTTTTTACCCCCTGTAGGTTCAAGGTCAATTCACCTTCAACAGCAAGGTGAAATATGTCTGTAACGCAGGCTACAGACTGATTGGTCGTCCAGACCGAGTTTGCCAAGCCAACCGCCAGTGGTCCAACACCAACCATCCCACCTGTGTCCTTCTGACCTGTGACCCTCCTCCTTCCATCTCACATGGACATTACCGGGGCTCTGAATTCCAGGTGGGCCGCAAAGTACAGTACGTTTGCAATGAGGGTTACGAGCTGGTCGGAGACTCCGTGTGGACCTGTCTGAAATACGGACGCTGGGATAAGACGAGGCTGCCGCGCTGCTCGCCGGTGCAGTGTCCAGAGCCACCGCTGGAGGTGAACCACCTGGTCCTGAAGGGCCTGGACTCTGAATCTGGAACAGTGGAATTATCATGCGAGGATGGCTACGTCCTTGAAGGCGCTCGCATCCTCCGCTGCACACCATCCCAGGAGTGGAACGACACGTTCCCAGTGTGTAAGCAGGTGTTTTGCGGCCCACCTCCTGAAGTGTCGTTTGGCAGCACTTCCTTGTCCTCTCCCCCGTTTCCTTTCGGCTCAGCTGTGACCTACAAATGCATGGATGGTTTCACGTTAAAAAAAGAGGGCTCTGTGTCCTGTCTTGCCAGCGGGCTGTGGAGCAGTCCCTCCCCTGAGTGTATCCCAGTTGAATGTCCTCAGCCTGTGGAGGTTTCTAACGGTATAGTAGATGTTCAGGGTCTGATGTACCTCAGCAAAGCACTGTACAGTTGTCGGACTGGATATAATCTGGTGGGTAACTCCACCGTCCTCTGCGGAGAAAAGGGACTTTGGATCGGAGGGGTCCCCTCTTGCCGCCCAATTGAATGCTCCATCCCAAAACAGATCACCAATGGAAAGGTGGTTTACACAAAACTCCAGTTTGGTCACAGTGCCACTTACTCCTGCCGTCGTGGTTACCGCCTCCAAGGCCCAGAGACTCTGAAGTGCCTGGCCAGTGGGGAATGGGACTTCGAGCCACCTGCTTGCGTGCAGATATCTTGCACGCCACCTCAGCCCATTGAAAATGGTTTTGTTGAGGGTCAGGATCACAGTTTTGGTGTCACTATCTTCTACAGCTGTTTTCCTGGATTCCAGCTCATAGGCCAGGACCATCTGACCTGTGAGGAGTTCGGCTGGTCGAGTTCTGTCCCTGTCTGTTTGCTGTCGGACTGTGGCCTGCCTCCTCACATTGACTTTGGCGAGTATGTTAGGGTGACAGAGCAGCGGACAAGCTCTACTACAACTTCTAAAGACACTGGAGCGTTAGCCTCACCTGAGAACTTGAGCTTCCTTCACGGGACTTTGATTGAATACCACTGCCACAAAGGTTACGACCTCTCAAGCCCCACCAGGTTGGTGTGTCAGGAGGACGGTGGCTGGAATGGGACAGCTCCGTTTTGTGTCCCAGCAGAGTGTGAAACACCGCCCAGGCCAGAGCACGGCTGGGTGAATGTGACTGATTCCTCCCTCGGCAGTATGGTCAAGTATTTTTGTGAGGAAGGATATGAACTTCAGGGGGAGCCTGTGAGGCAGTGTGTGTCAGGTCGATTGTGGACAAATAACGCCCCCATTTGTCGACCGGTTTCCTGTGGCGACCCAGGGCCTATTGCCAACGGCACCGCTCATGGAGGAGCTTTTGTGTATCCTGAGGCTCTGCGCTATGAGTGTCATCCTGGGTTCATCCTCAAAGGTAGCAACACAATCGTCTGCCAGGTTGATGGAAAGTGGAATGGACAAAAACCTCTCTGTGAGCCACTGTCTTGTGGTTCTCCTAAAGTCCCCAGTGATGTTACTTTTAAAGGCGAGGAGCACACCTATAATAATGAGATAGAACTAAGCTGTCAGCCCGGGTTCCTCTTAGAAGGGAAATCTGTCAGTGTTTGTCAGGCTGATGGCACCTGGAGCCACGAGTCTCTGACCTGCGTACCTGCCCGCTGTGGGAAACCCTCACTGATACCCAATGGACGTGTGCTGGGATCAGAGTTTGGCCTCAACAGCAAGGTGAAGTATCAATGTGACGAAGGATACACACTTAAGGGAGACTCCACACGTGTTTGTCAGTCAGATGGACTTTGGGACAAACCGGCACCTCGCTGTGACATCATCAACTGTGATCCACCCGAGGACATCAGCCACGGCTTTCTCAACGGCTCCAGCTTCAACTACGACGATGTGGTGGAGTACGTCTGCTTCGATGGCTATGAGGTGGTTGGGGACCCCATCCTGCGATGCTCCGCTCAAGGCCTCTGGGTGGGCGCTGTGCCTCAGTGCCGACCCTGCGTCTGTGTCCTACCCGTGTTGAAATTCGGCGTGGTTCTTGGACGCGACCGCACCTGTGGGGACCTGGTGCATTTCCAGTGTGACGGCGGCTACAAGCTGTTGGGTCCCCCACAGGCAGTGTGTGAGAAGGGAGGGGTGTGGAGTCCCGGGGTTCCTGTGTGTGGCCGAGGAAGGTGCAGTGTCGCTCCGCCAACAGTTCCTAATGCTGTCCTGCAGGGCGGCAGTGCCACCTTCCCAGACACTGTTATATACAGGTGTCGGCCCGGTTACCAGTTAAAGGGATACCCACACCTCTCCTGCGGGAGAGACGGCAGGTGGGGGGAGCCCAGGATCAGCTGTGAGCCTGTGAGTTGTGGAAAACCTCCGGCTGTAGCCCACGCTCAGGTGGTGGGAGACACCTTCACCTTCCCGAACCAAATCATGTACAGGTAAATGATCCAGTCATTCCTTATGGTAAATCCTCCTCTGGCAGCTCTGATAAACATTATCTACGTAATGATGTTTTGCATTAATTATTCAAACACGTTTCTTTGCTCTGTGCACACAAGTGCATCAGTTCAACCTGGAACTTGAATGTGTCACTTATACAAATAAATGCTTACATCATTTTTGTAGGCAGAGACCAAATGATGTTAGTTTAGTGTGTGTGTATGTGTGTGAG